AACTCTGCTTCCCACACCAAGCGCTGGGCTCCTACAGGTCTGGGACCAGGCGGGCGGCCCCACAGGACAGGATGGCCCCGAGCCTCAGACCCAGCAGCTTCAGGCTGGATTCCCCTTTTCCTGCAGCACTCACCACATGTCAGGCCAAGCTCCAAGTTGTTTTAGATCAGCATTTCTGCAAAAGCTTGGTCTTATTCATTCAGCAACATTGAAATGTGGTTTTCTGCCAAATGTTTTCTAGGTTTTCCTTCTGAATTGTCAAGAACAGGTTTCAGTGTTCACTTTTTTTTTTTTTTTTTTTTTTTTTTTTTTACCATTTAATATGTAACTTCAGACCCTGGGGGAGGCAGTATCCTAGCGATTGATAACAATTAGACTATGCCTTTTCTAAAGATCGATAACAGTAGCTGAAAGAGAAAGACGCAAAAATGGAGACTCAACAAACCCCTCCAGAGTGGACGAGTTTACTGATGAAGAGAGCAAAGGGGGGGCCCTTACAGAGAACAGAGTAAGATCAGGAACGCGACACGGTGGGGCCGCAGGGGCACAGGAGCAGGGCTTCTACCACAGGCGGGGCGACGCTGCCATTGCTTGCCCCCACCCCCACCCCCACGAGCCAGGACTCCGGGAACTGGCTAGGCAAAGGCCCGCAGGGCTCTAGACATAGCTCGCTTCCTGAGGTCTGGCCCATCAGTCCTAGAATCTGTGTGTGAAACTCCGATCAGGAAACGATTCGGGGTGACACTGGCTAGGAAAGGGTGCGCAAAAGGCTTCTCCAAGAACCGGCACCTGTGACCTTCCCTGGCTCCATCAGCCCCGAGAGCTGGGTGGGAATGCTCTGGAAAGGGGGCACGGAGTTCGGCTGCCGGGCTCTACCTGGGCCCTGCAAGATCCAGTCAGCCCCACCTGGTGAATTCAGTTCATACCTTTTGCTCCTTCCTGCGCTTCGGCTGCTTTATTAAAAGTTACTTAGATGCAGAGGTCCTGTCAGCTAGAGAAACCCCTTTCCCTCTCAACATGGCAGTTTGTTTCGGACTAGTACCCTCTTTCACACCCCCGTCACAGCAGTGAAAAGCTGGGCAGAGGAGCAGGTGACAAGTTGGGGCTCCTCCAGGTCCTAGTGCCACCACTGGTGGCCTCGAGCCAGGAAGGGTGCCCTTGAAGACTGTTGCCCACACCTGCATGGGGTCTCAGGAGTAGAAGCCAGGTGCTGGCTGTGGCCAGGGTCCCCGGGCCACCACCACGGCTTGTACCCTCCAGGAAGTTGAGGGGCTGGGGTCCTTGGGTAGTTTGGCACTGACGGGCTTGGGGAACGGGGCATTTCTAGGTGTGTCCTGTGCCTTCTGATGTGGGAATACAGCAGCGGCAGAAGGGAGCTGTCTTAGAGCCTGGCTGTGGCTCAGTGCCCTGCTTCACTACAGTGTCAAGGCCAGCAATTCCACTGGTTAGGGCAGGCCCACCAGTGGGCAGGGCAGAGCTGGGCTAGGCATTGTGGGAGGAGCTCGAGGGCCTATGGCATTCTGTTGGGAGAGGAGGTAGTAACTAACAACTAGAACGAGGGCTGGGGTGACTGAAAGGGACTCTGTGACCTAGCCCCACAGACAGGTATCTAAAAGCTGTTGGTTAATTTCTGTACTCTTCACACAGTCCCTAAAAGATGCCCCCAATCTTCGGGGTGGCCGAGTACACACAAAATTGAGGTCACACCCCCAAACTGGGCTGGACACAGCTGGTGAGAATCCCATGGCCTGGCTTTCCCTCCAACCTCCTATCAACCTGACCCAGGACAGGGGTGGCATGGGAGCTGCAGGGCCCCTGCCTGCCAGGGCGACAAACCACCACGGCGACCTGCTTAATGGTGACTTACTCGTGGTGCTTTTATTAGGTGCAGAAGAGGGAATGTGGAGGAAAGGGGAGAAGGAGAGAAAACCCTACAGAGCCCCAGGCGCTGCCTGCGGCTTTGGAACTGTAAGGAGAAGCAGCCGGGGAGTGAGGGGCTGCAGGTCAGGCCGGGCAGAAGGAAAATGACACTTGAAACGCTGTGCCCTCAACCACCAACACCCAGGCAGCCCCTGAACGGTCCTGGGTGAAAGGGGGGGGGCATGGTGGGCCCCACGCTCGTCTTCCCAGGACCAGATGGTACTGAGCTGATGGGGAGGCCAGCTCTTGTCTTGACACTGGTTCCAGGAGTCACATTCCACTGGACTAAGTGTAATGCATAAAAACCCAACCGACCAGAACGGACGGCGTCTCCACGACAAACTGGCCGGACGCTGTACTCGCGTGGATAGGCATCCTTTGTGGGTGCCGGGAATGCGAGGCTACTTCGGGGTCAGGAGCCTTTTGTCCTTGAAGGAAGAGGGGTCCTGAAGGACTCGCCTCCTCCTCCAACCACCCCCCCTTCCCTTCCTGGGGAGGAGTCAGAAGTGAAGCCCAGAGGGTTGACAGCAGAGCGGGTCTGGTTGTGGGACTTGCTTTTGCAGCATAGGGGAATGGGTACAGAAACACTACGAAGGCCAACTATGATTCTGCAAACAGAATGGGGGCAAACTCCCTTGCTTCTAACCATTCCGGAAGAGACAAACGCGATTTTTTCTTAAGCTACTGATTGGAACTGTCAACTATGGTTCCTGATCACTAAGGACTGGCAAGGAAGTGCTAGACGGTTTTTAGGATGTTTCACTCCTTCATGGTTACACCGCAGTAAGGAAGCCAGGGGACAATAACTGAAATACACGAGACAACACGCACTTGACAGTTCATGGCAGCAGCTCGCATGGGACGTGCTTGTGGGTGTTTCTGGAAGCATAAGACTGCTGTCTCATTTGCTACTTTGATAAGGTACTTCTCAGTTGGACAGATTTAGATATAAGAGACATCTCTGTAAACACAGAAAAGGATATACCAATATGATGAAGATATGCAGCTAGATAAGGACTTCCTGAACAGAGAATGAGGGGATGGGGTCCTAAATGGAGACTGATCAAGGAACACCCACAGCAAAGCCAAGCCTCTAAGCCCCCACACCACAGCCCTGGCACAGAGGTGGAAACCTGGGGTGGGCTGGCCCCACCCAGTCTCCGGCAAGCAAAAGCCACACATTTTCCATCAGAAGAGAACTCGTGGTTAACTCAGAGGAGGAGCGGAGGGGCCAGGGGGCTAGGCGCTGGTCCCGGCCCAGATCTGGGGCACCTACATTCCTTCCCACCTGCTGCCTTGTTGCACTGCACTGTGCTAGCCGGGCCTGGAGGAGGCCAAGGTCAGGGCTGGGTTACTCAATGACTCTGGCAGGCCAAGGGGGCCTCTGTGCTACCCTCAGCTCCCAAATCCAAATCCGCCCAACTTCTCCTGCCTGTTTCTCTCAAGTAGAAGGCTCAGAAGGCCCAGAATGCAGGGTCTGACCAGGGAAGGGAGCTCCCTACAAGAGCAAGATCGTGCTGCTCTCTTGCCCTTCAGAGAAGCCAAGGTGCTAGGGCCAGGTGGACTCGGCAGAGCCCAGGGCTTCTTCAGGGCTCAGAACAGGGTGCGGCTGGGGCTGGGGCTGGGGCTGGCAGTGGGAAGGCCAAGGGCAGGGTGAGATCTGGGGGACTGAGCTGACCAGCATCAACTCAGGTAAAGTTGGGAGACTGTGGGTACCTGGCGCAGAAGGGATGAACGAGGAGGGAAGAAATGAAAGGGTGAATGAGAGAAGGCAGAAATGGAAGGACAGAAAAGAAACCAATCAGGAAGTCCTTATAAAATTGCAGCAAACACTTAGAGTTTCGGAGCTTCGTGGGAACCCTATGTGCTGAGCCCACTTTAAAACAAGCGCAGGTATATACAGATCCAGGTAGTTCTAAACACCGTCACGTCTGGTGGCTTGAGGGACAAAGTGTCACCAATTCAAGCCAGTTTGCTCTCAGAGCATGTTTGTTTTGAAGTGGGAACATGAAGACTCAATAGTGCAAATAGTTCTAAGCTGTCCCTAAAGGAGTAGAATTGGAAAGTTTTGGAAGAACATTTTCCCCTCCTTTCCCCTGGCCCCCCAACCTGTCCACTAGGCCTCTGTCTACCAGTCACAGACTGCTCTGAGCGACTAGGAATTCCATCGGCCCCACTGCTCTCTGCCACCCGGAGGAGTCGGGGCCAGCCTGCCCACGCCCTGTCCTGCGGCTTCCACGGCCTCTCTCTAGCGCCACCCACTGGAGGACGGCCCCCCCCCCCCCCCCCCCCCCCCCCCCCCCCCCCCCCCCCCCCCCCCCCCCGGCCGTCCTCTCCTGCGGCTCAGGCCAATCTACACCCAGCAGCTCAAGGACTGACTCCCTCCTAGCCATGCCGGAACTGGAGCGAACAGGTGCTTACTTCCCTGTTCTGTGAAATGTCCTAGTCGGTTTTGGATTGGGGCTGGCGTGGGGCCAGATTTGTGCCACCATGGGTGAGATCACACAGGCTGTAGCCACTGGCCATCTCTGTCTTTTTCTCTAAAGAATCCAACTGTCTCTCCTGCCTCACACCTCCTTGTCCCAATGTGGGTGGGGAACTGGGGTATAGGGGTGGGGCAGGGGAGGGGGAGAGGAGAGGGCAGACTGGGGCACCAATGGCACCGGCACCGAAAAACGGGCGTGTCCTCTCAAGCACTCACTGTCCCTAATGACCACACAGGGGGGAGGTCCGGGTGGGAGGGGAGGTGCAGGCACACCCTAAGAAGCCTGGTCAACAGCTTGTCTGGTCAGTAGTATCTGCAGCAAGCCTTGTTGAAGGAGCCTAGTTTAGAAAAGTGCAAAGCTACTTCTGGCCCTGGTTAGGTCTTCAACCTGACTGTGCTTGTCGGTAAGAAAAACATCCCAATGCTCCAACTACTCCCACCCTGAAGCCACGAAACTCTAAGTTTACTGAAAGAAAAAAAAATATTTTTTATTTCAGTTAATCGGGAAGCTTTGTCAGAGCCCTACCCATAAGGAGAAGAGACAACAGCTGCCTTTATTCTTGTTGGTTTGCTTTGCAATCCGCTCTGTGTAAAGTCAGCTAACTCTCTCGGTCACGGGCGTCCGGCTGTCCACAGGCTCCTCTCTGTTTGGCCTCGGCATGGAGGACGAGACAATGTCTTTGCGCTCTCCCTCCCCTCGGTGTTTGTACTTTTCTGCGGCCGTGGCAGCGGTCGCGACCGCGGGCTGAGTCTTAGCTGGCTCCTTGGGGCAGCCGTCGCTCTCCAGCGAGCCTCCTCTCGGCATCTTCTCCTCTTTGCAGACGCCGCTGCTCAAGTCCTGGGGCTCAGGGGGGCTGGCGGGGTCCTCGGAGCTCTGGGGCTCGGGCGGGGGCGGGGGCGGGGGCGGAAGCAGCGGCGCAGGCGCCTTCGGGGGCTCCGAGTGGTGGTGGTGGTGGTGGTGCTCCTTCTTGGGGGGCGAGGAGGCACTGCTGCCGCGCCCCTTGGGGCTGCTCTCCTTGCTTTTCCGCCCGGGGCTTTTGCAGGTCTTCAGTCCCTTTCCGCTCTTCTCGCCGAGGGTGGACACCAGCAGGGGCTTCACCACCTCCTTCACCTCGATGCTGACGGTCTCCCGGGTCTTGCGCTTCTTGATGGGGAGCACGGTCTCCTGCACGGACCGGATAGAAGACTCCTTCACTGCTTTCTTTTTGGCCTCCGCAGCGGCGGCCGCCACCACACTACCTGGCTTTCGGCCCCGCTTCTTGGGGATGGCCTGGGGGTCGGCCTCGGCTTTTCGCTTCCTGCCGGGGCGTTTGATAACCATGACCTGGGCTGACGTGGTGGCCCCACCCCCTTCGGCCTTGCTCCCCGGCGAAGCTTGAAAAGGCATCTTGACCAGCAGCTTCCCGGGACTTTTCTCCAGGACCCTTTTCACCTGCACACCCTCTGATGCTGCTGCCTTGGGTCTCGCAGTGCCGCTCCCTTTGGGGCGTCCCCGACCTCTGCCAGTTCCTGGAGCTTTGGGAGATTTGGGCTTCTTAGGTGGTTTCTGCTCTCGCCGGGAGGGGCTCCCTCTCCCAGTTACCGTGAAGTCAAAATCATTAGGGTCCAGGGAGGTGTCGCCTACCTTTTCGAAGTACGCAATCAACTCCACTTTAGAGCGAAAGGCTTTTCCCTGGGGACTGTGGGAACAAATGGAGAGACACAAAGAATGATTAGAAGCTTCCACAGGAATGTCAGATATGGGGCAGAGCAGAATGTGGTGAACTCTCCGACAGGATGCTCTGCAGCTACGACCTGCCTGATGGTGCTATTGAGCGAGAGGCCAGTCACATTAGAGGAGAGCCAAACGGGCTAAAACAGAGGGGCGCGGCCACAGTCAGGTCGCGCTGGGTGGTGGTGGGCCCCTTTAGGGCGTGCTCCAATGACAGAACAGCTCAGTGCTGGCTGCTCTCTGGCTCTTGCCTGGATGCCCCTGACGATCCGTCTGCCACCAAGGCCCCTCCTCTGGCCGCCCCCCAAAGGGGCCAGGCCTAGGGACCCTCTTGAGCCACCAGGCTGGGGCCCACCCTGCTGGCTGGTGCCTGGGTCCAGTCAGTAAGTAGAGCACTCCTCTGTCTGAACCTGGACATGCCGCTTAGCCTCTCTGGGATCAGTTTCCTCATCTGTCAATAGGGTAACGCTTTGCTCACCCTTCTCAGAGTTGTTGGAATCAAACGAGGTTGTCTGCAAATGTCCTTCAAAGTCTGTTAACCTTTTCTGGATCGTCTAGGGGCCAGAACTGAAATGCACTACTCATTCAGTCTTCCTCTGAAGCTCTGGCTTGGAAGTTACTCTGTTTCAATAGAAAATGCCCAATGACCAGCCCGAAGCTGGACAAATGCACAAAGGACAGCTGGAAAGGCACATGGTGCTCACTTGTGTCTCTCCCCGGAAGCCCTGTCAGAGAGCTCACCTTTCCCAACGTGATCCACAGAGTGGACCGAGCCCCGTCAACTCCAACCCTCGCTGTGGCCCTGGGCAGGCCCTACTGCTATGCCATCTTCAGACAAGACCCAAGGGCTGGTGGGGTAAAGTCACGCCCTGCTACCCTGTGCATGTCTCACTCAGGGCAGCGATCTCTGCACACGGTCATTCCAAACCTACCTGGTTGGGCCCGCAAGTGGTGTTCATTGGGGAAGTCCCCCCCTCCCCGGACCCAAGATAGGGTGATGCACACACATTTTCCTGATCGACAAGCAATGAAGAGCTGCCGCTCTTAAGGGATCCCCATTAGTTTCTTAGCACCTGCCCCCCGCCTCCTGCCTACCCAGCCTTCCCTGCTCTGCAAACGACACGAGTTGCCCTTACTTACTTGATCAAATACACATCATACTTCCCAGCAGAGCGGCCAGATTTCCTTTGCTTCAGCTTTCGGGTCCAGCCTTCAGGCAGAGTGGGATCGTCATACATGGGTCCCCGGTCACGAATGATGGAGCGCCGCTGTTTAGGGGAGGCAGAAGCTTCCGGGACGGCTGGGGCTGTGCCTGACCCTTCTGAGGTCTCCGCTTTGCCTGCCTCTGCTGGTTCAGCAGAGTGGTGGGCGGGTGGCTGCAGGGGCTCATGCTTGCCCTCTTTGTCTTCTTTCTTATCCTTCTTCACCTTTTTGAACTTCAGAGGTTTGTCCTTGAGGCCCTGGAGATCCTGGTCTTCTGACTTTTCTTCCCTGAAGTGTTAAATAAGTATGTAAGCATCACAGGGAACACAACAGCAGTCTGTAGAAAACGTCAGCATCGGCAGGCCTGGAGCACGCCGGCGCGGGTGGGGCTCTGAGAGACAGGGCCGCTCCCCGCCAGCCGAAGCTCATCGGATCTTGACGCCTTTTCCCTTCAGGAGGTCTTTGGGGGCTTTGGGCTTTGCCCCCCTGCTGTGACCACTGTGAGGCCTTCTGCCCCACGCCCACCCCTAGCATGCAGGACAGTAAACAGCTTGTACAGGTGGCATTCTTCTGGATAGAAACACCATGTGGCTTCTTAGTACACTGCCTTGGAAGAGGCCACTTTACAAGCCGTGCCCAGGGGCCTCTGGGCTTGCTGGCTAACAAGAGGCCCTTGGCTGCCGGAGAGGGAGCTGCCCACCCAAAACGTGGGCAGGGCTACTCTTCATGAAGGCCTGGCTTGGGTGTTACTATGGCCTCTGTATTTTAGATTTTCTCCCATGCGTGCTTGACCAAAAGCAATTGTGGGGCACAGGACGACTCGCTGATGGTGACACAGCCTAGCGCTACCCCCCGGGGAGGTGGCACACAGCACAGTGCTGTGGTAAGAACACGCAGGTTTGGAGCCAGCCAAGCTGAGCTCAAACCCTGACTTGGCAATTTCTAAACATGGACCTGAGCAAGTGACCTCAACATCCCATACCTCAGTTTCCTCATCTCAACAATAGGTACCAACACTCCAGAGGCACTATATAAAGACTGGCCAACTCGGGCAATCGCAAACGGTTGACATTCCCTTATAACACAGGACCGCCTCGACCAACGACCACCCAACGACCACCGGAACGGAGGGGCAAAGACCAAGGCACAGAGGAGCACCCTCCCCACTCCTCCTCAACTGGCAGAGCTCCTTCCCCATACTTTGGCTCCACCTGGCAGGGTCCCTTCCTTGTGTGTGTCAGAAATGATCACCACGAGGCCCTGGGCCCTGGAATCAGAGCCTGGCCACGATGTTCTCAGGCAGGGCTTAGAGGGCTGGAACATGACCTGGGGCCGGGGAGGCTTGGGAGGAATTGTGGGCTCGGGATCGGCTGTCTGCTGGTCTCTCAGCAATTCATTCTAGAAAAGAATCAGACTATTCCTGTCCTCAGTATCTTAGCCCTAGAGCTGTCCGGTCCCATATGGCTTGTGTCAGCACTGGTCACTGCCTCACGGCCGGTCTGTCCCAAGCAACTTCCCCCTTGTTCACACAGGGGAGACTCCAATGAAGGCACTGTGGTGTGCAATGCAAACCTGATTCAAATGATGTGGGTAAGTTGCCAAAGGCATGTTAGTATCAGGACTTGGCACCATTAGGACATGCCTTTTTTGAACAGCTCAAGTCAGGGGTAGGGAGACAGGCTCACCCCTGAGATTCTCCCCATCCTGGGTCCTCCTCTAGCAGTTCAGGGCTCTGAGCCTGGCTCTCACGGTCACCCTGATTCAGTCCAAGGCCCGTAGGAGACTTTTTCTTGCTGAAAAGTGAGGGTCCCTAGCCTGTTACAGCACAGAGCTTAGTTTTCCATTTTCACAGTCTTAGCTTCCCAGCAGGAAATGAAGAAGGATCCTGGGAAGCTGGGCGTGGCCTGCAGCCCACCATCACATAGGGGAGAAAGGGAGCTTGTCGGCATCAGAGTGGTGGATGGACTGAACAGTCACTTTCACACAGTCTACAGGGGCGCTGCTGAAGGCCAGGGCTGCTCCCTGGAAGCTGGACAGTCCTGGAGTCAGAGAACAACACTGCACCCGTGGGAAAGGTCTGGCTTCTTCAGAATGCTCACTTATATTCCCCAAATAGTTTAACCACTGTAAGGTCACGTACAAACCACATGTCCCAGGAACTCCTCTTAGATACAATCAAGGGTGTCGATGCCATCAATGGCAATCCCTCTAGAACTCTATCCTCAAGAGACACTCCCAGAAATGCAAAACACAATAGGTGTAGGTTATTTGTAACGGCATTATTTTTCGTGGCCCGATACTGCAGACAACTCAAGACAGCTGCCAGCAAGGATGTGAGGAATGGGCAACACCATGGCCACAGCGTGGAGAGCCATGCAGCTGGAGAGGGTGGAGCCCCTGCAGATCGCCTACAGATCGATGGATCATAGGCCGCCTTTCGCCTTTCACGTGATCAACGAGGTAAGAAGTGCTTCCTAGTCCTGGGTGGGTGCGAATGAGGGAAGGTACAGGCACAAGGTAAGACGTCTTGGAATCACGTACGAGCTTACATCATAACCAAAATGAAAATGAAAATAAGAGGTGACAAAACCATACTATATTGAATACAAACACAAACAAATGAACTGTGTATCAAACTGACAACATACCGCAGAGAAAAGATTTATTTCAAATATCTCTGACCACAGTGCTCTGCACATCCTTGGTGGGATATATCTAAGACCAAGTATGACACGTCAGGGGCAGGGAATGCACCCTGTGTCCATGGAGGGAACCAGGCCAGCCCCTGGGAGAAGTGGGTGGTTGTGGTTCTGAGGTGGCCTGTGGGGGTGGAAAGGCAGGGGAGTGCTTAGAAGGAGAAAGGGAAAGTCAAAGGACACAGGGGCTGGCTGGAAGGGCTCCTTGCACTAGATGACACTGTGGCAAGGGGAGTATCCAAAAGAACACACTGACTGGAACACAATGAGGGACAAAAGAGAGAAAAGCCTACAGAAGGCAAGGGGGCAAGCCATATGGCTATGTGCCAGAAGGTTCTGGGCAGTAGAGAGGCCTCAAGAGAGATGTGGAGGGCTTTGTCAGGTTGCTACTGGGGCGCCTTGGGTGGGGGGGGGGGACGAGGGCTCTTATCTTCAAAGGATCACTCTACTTTTCGATCAGAGCAGACTGTGGGGAGGCCAGAGAGGAAAGCAGGGAAGACCCGTGAGAAGCCTGTCTTTTTTTTTTTTTTAATTTTTTTTTTTCAACGTTTATT